GCCCGCTGCTCACCTCCTGCTGTGAGGCCCCGGTCCCAACAGGCCACGGACCCATACTGGTCTGTGGCCCCGGGGGTTGGGACCCCTGATCTAGAGAACAGTTGCCACAACTTAATACTAACCACCTACCAGGAACTGAGATGGCAGTTTGACTATAAACTTAATTCTAATCCTGAAAACACCCCTGCCAGGTTGGTGTGAGCTCCACGTTACAATGTATAGACCCACACCCAAATCTGACGCTAGAGGTGGTTCTTCTTTACCAGGGGTCCCCAACCCCCAGGCCGCAGACCAGTACCAGTCCATGGCCAGTTAGGAACTGGGCTGCACAGCAGGTGGTGAGTGGCAGGCCAGCGAGCGAAGCTTCATTTGTATTTACAGCCGCTCCCCCGAGCTGGCATCACCGCCTCAGCTCCACCTCAGATCATCAGGTGTTAGATTCTCATGGGAGCACCGGTCCCTGGTGCCACAAAAGTTGGAGACCACTGCTCTTTACACCACCCCCAGCATCCGCCTGGAGCTGAGTACTGTCAATGTCACCAAGATGTCTGCTGATCATTCAAGCAGACTCTTTCCACCTGGGCATGCTGGTCGTGGGCACTGGAATCTCCATGGGGCCATCCCGGGGCACTGTGGGGTGCTGAGCAGCATCCCCGGCTCCCACCCACTCGATGCCAGGAGCACCTCTAAATCCCAGCTGTGACCATCACAAATGTCCCCCAGACATACCCTAAAGTCCCCTGGGGGCAGGATCAGCCCCGATTAAGAACCACGGGTCTGAGAGGCAAGCTCTGGGAACCCAGCAGCTGGAGAGGCTGTTAATTGAGCTGTGGCGAAGTGATGAATGAGGCCTGGCAGGGCCCCTCCAACTAAATCAAACCAACGCGAGAGCGCAGTTGATCTCAGTATTTTCTTTGGGGCTGCCTGGAGGGGGCTTGATCTCTGTGAGACCCTGGAACACTGAGGGGAGTGAGGGCTCCCCAATATGCTTCATAAGCAAAGTGTCCTTAGGGACAAGCTAGCAGGGTTTTGGGGCCACCCACGCTGAGCCCTGAAGCTGGCCTGTGCCGAATGAAACGTGGTGGGGAAAGACACTTCCAAGGGGACGGGAAACAACAGTGCAAGTGACGAGAGCGGATACAGAAAGCTGGCGCGTGTGGGGCAGGACAGCTCCCAAAGAAACCAATAAATCGCTTAAACTCAACTTGAGAAAGTCTGACAGTCGGAGGTGGGTGGGAACCCTGCCAAGGTTGACACAGCGGCCTCAATGCCAGGAGGCTCTGGGCTTTCCCATTTCCTGGCTGTTTAAGGGTGAATTGTGGGGTCTGACAGCGGCCCAGTGATTCAGGAGCCTTGGGTTCAAATCCAGACTCTCCCCTGGGTGCCCAGACGACCCCGGGTCTACTGTCAGGCCTCCCCTTGCTTTTGGCTCCTCGTTTGTCAGAGCAAGATGGGAACTCTAAGACTCCTTCCAGCTGGACGCCAGGCTCCTGCTGCTGGTACAAGGGGCTGCCCTGTCCTGCCCGCGAAATCTCAAGGGGGAGCCTTTCCTGCACTACGGATGCGGAATGTCCACCGGGTACCAAGTACCACAGGGGCATCTTACGGTCCCGAATCTCACGAGGACCCGTGCCCATCATGCAGGTGAGAGGATTGAGGCTCCGAAAGGGACGTGGCTGGCCCACTGCCTCCCTGTATCACTAGCGGGGGGCATTTGGACCTGGGTCCATCCGGCTCCAAAGGGCATTTCTTTCCACTCACAACCAGTTGCCTGGGCACCTTGGGGACTCTGACTCCCCGGCACACTCCTCCCTAGGGACCTAAGCAGTCTGCTGGCCCTCAGAGAGTCTGAAACGCTCTGAAAACAAAGAGGCTTCACCTCCCTCGGCCTGACTTCCTACCTTGAGCAGAAAAAAAGGCTCGCAGACAAGATGTTTCTTCTGGAAGAGGCCCAAGGCCTGCGAGGGGAGAGGTGCTGTCATGTGGAAGCTGACCGCCCGCCATGGAGCCACAGGCAGGTGGGCTTGGCCTTTCGGAAGTCTGGCCACAACGCATCTCCTGACATCATCCCACCCCTGCGAGCCCCCTGCCCCTGCCGAGGCCTAGCCCTGAGCAGGCTGGACATCCGGAGCTGCCACACCGGCATCCTGGGGCACACCCCTCAAGCTGCCATATGTTCACGACTCAGATTTCTCAGCAGCTGCCACCACCAAGGAGCCTGCCCTTGACACTGGAGGGGGGGAGTTGAGGGGCGCAAGCATTCAGGAAGAAACCCCAAGCACTTGGCAGATCACTTCCTGCCAAGGCTTCATCCTGACCTGCCTGCCCCTCTGATCTGTGTTTATAAACGGCACCAGGCCCCAACAGCTTCCCCGGGCAAAACCCCGGGCTTTTGTGGAGCAGCAGAGAAACATCCGCCTGGATAGAACGGCTGCGCTTAGCTTAACCTAGAGAAAGTTAAGGCCCCTCTCTAGAAAACTACAGATTGGTACAAACTGCTACAGTATCTCAGAGAGTTCACTCGCCAGCCTCTCCTCCCCGACCCCTCTCGGGGGCTTCGGGTTGGGTTAAGAGTCTCGATTTTCCAAGTTCATCAACAAGCCCCCTCGTTTTCCTCTCGGACAAGGCCGCTTTGCATCCCCAAAGACAAAATCTCCAGCTATTAATGTGAAAGCCTGGAAAAGCATCTAAAGGAGGGGTACATTTCATTTATGTGGAAGGCACTCCACAGTGACAGCAAGAGACTGAACCAGAAAGAGAGCTTCCTGGGATGGAGCAAGCGGTCTCAAGCCCCTGAGCAGAGGCTCACGTTTTAGAGAACTTGAAGAAAGGGTCCACTTGTTTTAATTGGGGTGGAGGGGGCAGCAACCACAGGGTCAAGTAGAGTTCATCAGATCATATTTCAAGGCCCTGGTTGGTATAAAAAAAAGTCAGACCCTACTCCATGGCTGGGGTGGGGGCGGGGACCCAGTGTCGCAGTGATGGCCCCACGAGGTTAAATTTCAGGGCTCCAGGGACTTCAGGCTGCCACCCTGGACTTGCAGAGTTCAGACCTCCACATGTCTAGGGCAAGTCTCAATTTCTCCAAACCCTAGAGAAGGGCATGAGTGTGTGTGGTGTAGGCATGTGGGGGAGGGCGCTCTGGGGTGAAGGGAGAGTAATACCCTATAACCACAGAACCTAGAGGGCTGCATTTCAGATCCCAGTGGGAAGGGAAGGGAGATGTAAGGAGAGGGAGGAGCCAAAGAAAGAAAACATTTACAGGTCAGGACCTTCTGGAGGGGAGACCAGAGCGGGCAGGGGGTAGTGCCTTGGTCTGTGAAGAACCAAGCCCAATTTCCTGGGCTCCTCGGCTAAAGTAAACTTCTCAGGGAAGGAGGGGAGAACCCTAGTCTTATCGGGGCCTGACCTAAGGGGGGAGCTGGGAGAAGGTGCATTCCTGGGATTGGGATGCTCCCCGCTCAGCCCCAAGGTTAAAAGGGCCCCACGTTAGGAGAGGGATGACATCTATGGCCTGTGGAACCTGGACTTCAAACTGGAGTGTGGGGAGAGGCACCAGGAGCTAACCTACAAAAGAGGCCCATCTTGGAACCAGCTGGGATCCTCCAAGGATCAACACAGAAACCAGCAAAAGGGGCGCGGGGGGTGGGGGGCGGCTCAGAAGCCAGAGCTGGGTGCATAAAGAGAACTAAGCTGGGGTTCTGGGGGCTGTGCGGGGAGGGCGTCTAATCTGAGCAGACTCACTGGGGAGCATAGGGAAGCAGCCGAGGTTTGGAAATGGAGTCTGACACTGCGAGTGCGGGGTTTAGAGCCCCCAGGAGCGGAGTCCAAAGCCTTACCGACGACGTCCTGAAGGGAAAAGACTGAGAGAAGGGAGTTAGAAAAGCTCTGGACAGAAGAGGGGTCAGGGCTCCGTCCCGGGAGAGAGGGCAAGCTCAATTAACACCGCGCCCACTCTGGGGGTGAGAGAGAGGGCGTCCGAAGGGGGCGGGGCTCTGGGACCAAAGCAAGAACCCAACAAGCGCCCCAAACTCCAGCCTGGGGTACAGACCCCAAGAAAACACGCTACGTATGGGGCCGGTTCAGGACCCTGGCTCATCAGTCCGGATGCTGGAAGCTGTGGCAGGAAGATCAGGGGACCCTTCTGAGCAGGGAGTCGCCAACCCCAGCCTAGCCTGCTGGAGGGGAGGCTGAGACCCAAATGCCAACGCTCTGTGCCATAGAGCGCAGGGAGGCGAAGTTACTCCCCTGGGCCAAAGAGCACGGACCCCAGCTCGGACAAGGAGGGGACAAGCAGCCCAGCCCACCCTGCTGTCCGGGCGGAGTGTGCCTCAAGCCAGGGGGCTCGGCCCTGTACCCGTATTTAGGGAGATCTGGACCCTAACTGCTCGGGCTGGCATGGGGGAACCCCGCCTCAAGCCCGGGGGCCGACCCCGGGCGCGAAGACTGGGGTGAGGTCTGGGGACCCCGCCCCCGGCCTCCCTTCCCGCACCCGGAGCCCCGG